TAAACGAATGTAGTTTCATGTTACAATTTGAAGTCATTCTAGAAAGAAAAAAGGGTAATTTAGATTTATTTAATTGACCGATTCTGTTTTAAGATAGAGTAGAGAAAATAACAGATAAACTATAAAGTTTTACTGCCTTTAGGAGGTGTTAGGGATTACACAAAGGAAATTTGAGATTTTTGAGTTGACGATAAGTATTCTTAATTTTAATATGAAAATTACTTTGCATACGGACTATTCAAAACAAATACTCAATATATTCATGGACAAATCTTTATTTTATTAAAAATACTTCACTAAAAAACATGATTTTTTGTATGTGAAAGACTTATAATATTAACTGAAAAACTGCCAAATTTTGTGAAGATATACACACAATTTTGAACGTTAGAAGTAGTAAATCTATAAAGACTTTAAACGACTACAAAGAGGTCACGTAGTCGGTCAAATTGACCGAGCTCGTGTTGAGATAGTTAAGGAAGTTTATAAATGTGAATAAAGAAGAGTTGAATTGAACAAAGTCATTTATAAATGAGGAATGATTATTAAATTAAGTATAATGTCTTATTTTGTGCTGGAAATAACTATAAAATCATCACCTTTTGTTAAGATAATTTTGGAACATTTCAATAATTTTCAAACGAATAACAAGGTTCTCTTTTAATGATTTCTGCTACATATACGGAATTCATACTAATCACGTCATATGAGACATAAGTCTTACTTAGTACAGAATTCATACTAGGAAGCGCATCATACAAGATAAGTTTTATCTAGACAGTGATTTTAGATGTTGCTTAGCAACAAAATATGACTAAGATAACAATACATTTGGTTGTTAAGGAGAAATATCTGAAACAGGTTTGAAAGGTGTTTTTTTTTAATAAGAAATGCCTAGAATTTTAGGTTAACTTTTCTCATGTAGAGAGCTCTGTAACTTGAAACTGCAGGAAGTGTTTTTGTGATTTTAAAGATAATTGTTTTATAAACCAGGACTTATTTTCAGCAAAACCCTATTAATCTTGAAACAGAGAACAAAGAGATAATCTTTAGATAAGCTTATATCTCTTCTTCAGTTAATAGAGGAAGAGGGTATACTTTTATAATTGACAGTTTTTATTTGTCTTCAGTTAATGGAGGAAGAGGGTATACTTCTATAATTGACAGTTTTTTATATGTCTTCTTCAGTTAATGGAGGAAGAGGGTATACTTCTATACTTGACAGTTTTTATATCTCTTCAGTTAATGGAGGAAGAGGGTATACTTTTATAATTGACAGTTTTTTTATATGTCTTCTTCAATTAATGGTGGAAGAGGGTATACTTTTATAATTGACAGTTTTTACATACCCCAGAAATTATCAATAAAGTTGTTATTCTTTAATTGATTTATATAGGTAAAAAAAGGAACCAAACCCTCTATCAGTCAGTATTGTCCATTGGATCTATTTAGTGGGTAAGTACAAGAACACAGGTTTTACAATTTACATAAAACTAATGTGCAATTTATGGCATTTTTCATCTTGCAATGGTTTATAAGGCTTAAGTTCATACTCTTTAGTGTCTTAATTTTGTTTTTTTATTCTGACATTAAAAAGTAATAAATAATAGTAAGCTTGATTATTGACATGTTCCGAACTTTCATCTGGGCTTGTTTGAAATCAGTAGATGACTTTCAAACCTATTTTATAGATTTATAAAAATTGTTTAACTGTTACAATTCATTTGTTTGTTCTACAGTGCAGAACTTCTGAATTTTACTTTTTACAAAACAAATTATGTATCTTTAAATAGCCCCCTCCCAACTATAACTCTGCCTGAACTTGGCTGAAGTAATTTATTTACATAGATATTCTAGTGAAAGTTTACTCCATTTATGAACTCTAAGCCTAAACAGTATATGAAAACTAAAACAGTAGTTTTAAATACTCTCTTAATTCAATAAGTTTCTTGATATCTCTCTCATCCTTATTTACACAGTCAAACAGTATTATAGTATTATTGATAATTTATGTTAGAACTAGGTCTAGTTATTCAGAAGGATCCAAATTTCCCGTTCAGCATACTGCAAAAATGTTATCTATAATCCATTTTGCAACACAACTCTGTAGAAAGATAAAAGAAAAAGTATTCGTATTACAGAAAAAATTGCATTTTAAAAGTTGCAACATGAAACTATTTACAAAGTATTAATGACATGCTACTTCACTAAAACTTTTAAATGGGAGACCTTTTCTTTGTCTAAAGTTTTAATTATAGAAAGAGCCACTGTAGGATTGTAAAGGTCTCTCAAAAAGCGATACAATCAGAAGACAAGCTGGAAGTACATGTATTCTGAATTTTAGATATTTAAAAAATATTTCTAATGCATCAAATATGTGGTTTAGAATTTTCATCATTGATATGAAGTGTGAATTATCATTAATATACACAGTTAAATAGCTATCTAATGACTGAAACTTTTAATAAATTACAGCTGTAAAGACAATGAACATCATGTTGTAAAGACATTTTTAATTTTTTAAATTATTTTTGACAATTTTTGGTGTAATTGGAAACCTTGTGTTTAAAAAGCTCAGTTGAAGCTGATACAGTTGTTATATCTCTACTCACAATAAAAGTGCTAAAAGAATTTCACTTTTTCCATTCTTGGTTAAGTTTTTCTTTTCTAAAGTTTGAGAAAGATTGAAAGAACTGTCATGTACATTTACATGGCAAAGAATGAGTTTATATAGATATAGAAATTCAGCTTGTCAGAAAAGCTGTTTGTAAAGTAACATCACATTAAAAGTTTCTAGTAAGAAAAATATGTATTCTTTACCAAATTCAGTGTACTACACCATGCCATTTTTTTACACCAGACTTAGCTTAGATTATATTTTCAGCCACAAAAGTTCTATGTCATAATAATGTGTGTTTTTGTGTTGCTATTTTTATTTGCTAGATGTCCACATCGTATGAAGGTAGCCATTCAGAATCTTTTTAAAACTCCCCAGAACAACCTGAGAATTGTCCGGGTGAGATTTTTCTCAGTAATCTAAATTACTTGTAAGAAAATGTGCTCAGATTTGTGCTTCATATCAGATAATTCAGTTTAATTTTGTAAGTTTTTATTATGATAGATTTGATGTTTATTGTAGTCGGTTTATGAAAAATACAGTTGACAGTGATCATTCGATATACATTGTAGATTACACAGGCCTGCGATGGTTTTATTGTCTTGAAAGTTTTACATGTTCTACAGTAATTCCTGTATGCTTAATCCGAAAATGATATCTATTTTTTGCCATTACACACAGGTTTTTCACAAAACATCATATATAGTTTTACATAAGTGAATCATTTTCATTGAAATCGGGTCACATTTTGTAATGCTTAAAATGTTAGCAACCACTGGGTGTAAATTTCTCTAGACCAATCGTCACATGAGAGTTATCGATTGTTCCAGATCCCAAGAGAAACACACCGCTATTATATAAATGGTTACCAGGCCACATGGTGTATCATTTCTGGATTTTATTTGTTTGTGCATGCACTTTGAAATTTTTTTTTTTCAATAATATTTATTCATTGTTATGGCAAC